CCTCTGCAATGGTCATATGGAAAACTGAAAGGAGCCCTCATCCAGAGGGAAGTCAGGACACAGGACAAATGAGTTGTCTGTTGTCACCCAGTTGCAAACTCTTCTGGCAGCTTGGACACGTGTCTTCTTTCCCAATTCGTGCATGTTCGTGTCTGCTCAACTAATATGCTCCAGTTTGGAGACAGAGCAATGGTCCTTATTACTCTGACTTTTTGCTCACAAAAAAGGAAAGAAACACAAAGCTGCAGAGCTGTAGTTTGGAATCCCAAGGCTTGTTACTGGGGATTGTTGACAATATACAGAATCTAAGGTTTACCCCAAGGTTTTTTTCTCCTTTTTGAGATGAACAATTACCTAGATTTTTCTCTTGTAGCTGCAGGACTGTAACAGACTTTTAAAATAGCTACTACTGGGAACCATGTGAGACTCCATGGATCCAGCTCATGATCTGTACTGTCTCTGTGCAAGGTAAGCATACCTGTAGACTCGCATGTGATGGCTTGCTAATTTTTAATCTTATCTTACCGGTTAGTTTTCTACCAAGCTCAGATAGCTGCATCAAGGTGTTTGTATCAACCCACAGTCAAATCCAAGACATACAATAGATGAATAAGTAATTTTCTTTTGTTAACGTGGTTCGTTTCAATTTAAGGATAGAAGCCCTGGAATGTGGCTTACCTTGACATTCAAAGAGGCTTCTTTCCTGAGAAAAGTCTAAAACTTGTGATTTCTTGTGTTGCAGTTTGCCGAACAGTGGGCTTACTCCTACACTCTCTCTTATGTTGATAAGCAGTGTGGTTGATACTGTCTTGAAGGCCAGGCCCAGTAACTCTTGAAAGTAGACTGATATGTATCAGCTTTTGCTTGCTGACCTGGTTTTCCTTTCATATCATGTTCACACCTTAAAGGTGGTGGTGAGGAGGAGCGTGCCTTCAGGGTACTGCAGGTAACTGACCCCTGGAGCTGGCTCCTCACAGGCAGATGAAGCATTCTGATCTTCCCTTTACATGTTCCAACTTTCCATTCCATGCAGGGAGCAGAAAGGTGGTTTGGCATGCACTGATCTGTTTTTCTGAGGGATGAGAAACAAAGATGAGGAGACATGTGGTTTCAGCCTCTCTATCAGCTTGCAGACTTGGAGAAGCCTTGTAACGGCAGGAAGCACAGATTCACACTAGGATCAGTCACAGGGTAAATAATGTGTAGGGCAGGGATATGGGAGAGGTGGTGGTATATAAAGACTTGTCTAAAATGCAGAGCTTAGAAACTGCCACAGTCAGATGAGCTTTTGATCAGAGACAGGACATAATGGCAAACTCTGGGGTTGCTATGATCCTCTCCCGTCCAGCTTCTTCCTTCTGTAGATGGTGATCAGCCGGACTGGCCAGGGCTAGCAGGTGGTTGAAGAGATCCTGTGATGTGAGGCTGTGCGTGGGCTGGTGTCCATGTGTGGGAAGACGTGGGTACCAAAAGCAGAGATCTGGGCAGCCTCTAAGAAGTATATTACAGTAACTGCAGTGTAGACTGCAGTAAACTGGGAATAATGTCAACCGCTTTGAGCAGGAAAACATCCCAGGCTTGGAGGTCAGTCTGAATCAGATTTCTGGCTCCCCTTGCATCTCCCATGGTATAGATCTAAGGATTAGCTCTTGGTGGCTGAGGCTGAGTACGTTACCGGCTGCCATGTTCCCTGACTGTGTATGAAAACTCCAGTCTTCCCCACCACAAAAGAAAGGGGTTTCCTTCTGAGATACCTGAAGGTGATGGTCTCAATTCCAGACTGAAGTGAGCAAATGAGTGTGGGAAAGGGGCAGAGGGCAAATGCAGGTACGTAGGCTAGATGTCCATTTACATACTTGTACTATATGAATCTGTATGGCAGAGTGTGCAGAGTCATCCTTATGCTAAGCAGTGCTGTTTACTCACCTGTCTGGGGTTCATTTGCTGCCACTGCCTTCCTAATAAAATGGAAAAAAACGGGAACTCAGAAGGTGCACTTTTCCTGCAGGGCCACTGAGTGTCACCATCGCTCCGTGCCTTGCTCTGCAAGACGCCGTTTCTCCAGCAAAACTCCTTTGCTAAAATGGGTTGAAAAAAAAAAAAAAAAAAAAAAAAAAAAAGTAATTGGAATGAAAATGGGCTGCTCCTTGCTGAGAAGCCCGGAGCTGGGAAGATCTGCACCTAAAATGTGAGCAAGTGATGCTACCTTATGAAACAAAACCTGGCTTATATTTTGGCATAGCACTTGACAGGTTTCCAGCCAGACCCTATAAACCAGTATCACAAATTGTAGCATGACCCTCAGTGACAGCAGTTATGAGATGGAGCAAGTGCTTCATCAGGAGGTGCTAAAAAGGCCAAGATTCCACCATTTGGTGAGCAGAATGAGCAGAATTTGGTGAGCAGTTGAGGGACAGATTTACAAAAATAATGAAGGTGGTGGATAACGGGAGTAGAAAATTTGTTCTTCAGCAAATCTTTCCATGGTAGATGGGGGGCATGTGATAAAACTAGTTGGTTAGAAATTTAAAACAAACCAAAAAGGTATTTTACAGTATAAGAACGGGCTGCTACTGGAGTTATGGGAGCCAATACTATCAGCAGATTCGAAAAGCTCATAGACAAACTCATGGAAAACTAGTCTATACCAAAGGGAACAGGTTGTGATGTATCCTCCACCACCACCCCTACTACCGTGTGTGGATGTGGGAGTAGAACAAGAGGAATGGACTGTAGGTATTGGCCAGATGCACTTGCTCTCCCTGAAAAGCAGTGAGGGCAGTTTAATACAGTGGACTGAAAGATCCAGAGGCTTCCTTCCTTCCTGGGCCAAGGAAAAAGAGTGTGAGCTTCTTCTGCTTCAGATCCCACCAGTAGCAGGGAGGTGTGCGAGTTCACAGCAGACATGCTCACACAGCACTGGCGGGAGACACCCGCATAAACACAGAGAACGGTCAGACGGCTGATCCTGTTCCTAAGGACCAGCGCTCAGAGAAACACACCTTTATAGGTCTCTTGTGATTCTGGTCCCCCAAACCTTTCATCCTACCTGCTGGCTAGACAGACCTAACTTTGTTATTGGATCACACACACATGCACGCACAACAGAGAGCACAATCACACCGGAAAGAATTAGAATAATTTAATATGAATATAGTACAGACTGTGGTGCAAATCTTGTCCAAACAAACATACTGATTGCATCTGATCACCTTAGTTTATCCCTCCCTTCGCTCCATTTCCCCGTGCTTGTTCATCTCTGATCCACCTTGATCCCTCCATTTCCCTGCCTGTGATTTTTACCCCAAACATACCAGCGTAGCCTTGTAAATCCTCAAATTGTCTTTGATTACAACATCCCTCTCCCTCCAAAGCACTCCCCAGTAAACCCTAAGGCCTCTTTATTGCAGTAGTTTCCCTTCGTTTGCATAGATTCCAGAGAGTTTCCTCCCTTGAATCGACTTCAGTGGGTTTTGCAACAGGGACAAATGGCTTAGTCGTTCAACCAGTCGTTGAGGGTTTTAGGAGAGGTTGATTCACAGGGATTAAGTCGGCTGGGTTCCCCGCCTTGTCATTGTTCCTTTGATCACTGTCTGACCTTTTATTCTGAATAACCTTAAATATCTCCTATATCTTTTTTTTTTTTTTTTTTTTTTTTTTTTTTTTTTTTTTCCCAAGAGAATCAGCCAGGCAGCTTTCCATCTGAATTAAAAAAGAATCCCGAGCATTTAGAGCAGGTGTGTTTGGTAACAGCCCAAACACCTCCTCTACAGTGTGTTTTGCTGCTTTTCAGGCAGCAGCAAACGTTACTCTGTGATTCGGGACTGGGCCCAGCACCTTCATTACTGAACCAGATGCAATGTTCTTGCAACACAAGGCTCAAACGTGTCATTTGCAGGAGCATTTATGATGCTCAGAGCCTCGGTGGTGCTTGAACTTCTGCACCTTGTACATGTAGATGGAACATGATTCTTTTCTGTTTGTCTTTTGCTTCTTCCCACCCTTTCTCGGTGCATCCTTAAAGGAAACTCGCCAGATCTCACCAAATTAAGCCACTGGTCTGACCAGATAGGGCATTTCTCTTTTTCTTAGAAACACTTATGCTGACTACAACGTTGTTAAAAATAAGTTTAGCCTAACTGATCACTTTTACCCTACCTAAGCCAGGCTACTGACAGAAGAACTGGTGCTCTCCAAGACTAGCCGAGGGAAGCAAGGCCCAGGTGCCTGCACAGCGCAGCTTCTCTTCTGAAAGTTGCCAGCAAGCTCTGGCACGGTGGCTTTTACCCTCTTTATGCAGGTTTTCACCTCTACACGTGACCTACATGACCTGGCCAGAAAGCCGCGATTACCGCTGTGTCCTGTTTGTTCATCAAAGCTTGTTCCGGGTACAAAGACAAACATTTTACAACCTACGTAAAATTACTAATGTTTAACAAGGTTATGCAGCCTCCAGGAGGACCGATCGCAAAGTGCGTCCGGGCAGCGGGGCCGTCGGCGCTCCATGGCGGGGCGCACTCCGCGCCTGCTGTGCAGCCAGGCCGCGATGCTCAGCAACATGGTGATGCCTTGGGGCCCTGTCCCGGCAGCAGCCCGACACCGAGGTACCGAGCCGCGCTCCCCGGCAGGGCCGGAGTTTTCCCCG